CTGAGCTTCTGTGAGGCCTCCAAATTCTCATTCTCGAAATTCTGCAGGTCTGACATGACCTGCTGATGTTCCATCTTGAGCTTTTCATAGAAAGGATTTGGCCTGTGGTAGGGCCTGGACTCAGAAGCAAAGAATTCCATGAATACAGGCCTCAAGGATCACATAAATTCAATGTGTGTTCTATATTACTGGATTTAATGAGATGCCACAGCCTGGCTCCTATGTACTGGGACCTCCAGCTGCTTATGACACTTGCTCTTCTGGTCCCAGGCCTGCAGAGGCAGGGTGTTAAGAGGGATGCAGCTGGGACTGAACGAGCTCCCTCAGGAGTCCTGCACAGCTTGGTATGGAGTTCCCATGAGTCTATCACAGGTCTGGGCTCACCAGAAACTGTGATGTTTCTGCTGTCTCCAAATAAGAGATGCTCATTCCAGGGTGCTTATACTGATATGGAGGTTAAAATCATATCATGAATATTTCTTAGGATGGGACTCAATATTATGACAGCTTCATAAATTCCCCCAGGGCATTCCTAGTTGGCACCAAGGTGAACACACTGGCAAAGTGCTATGCTGCTCAAAATGGGGCTCCCAGTACACCATGTAGACAACACCTAGATACTGAGACTCAACCATAGACCATTGATTGCAGGGTGAAGAGGGACACATATGCACAAACACACAAACACAAAGATACAGAAAGATGGAGGAGAGGGAGAGAGAGGGAGACAGAAATGGAGAAAGTGTCAGAGAGAGAGAAAATGAGAGAGGGAAAGGTGATAGAATGCTCTCATGAGATGCCAAGTTAATGCATGCAATTGTGTCATCTCAGAGAGGACCAAGAGCAGCAGACATCAGTACCAGGCCTTGCTGCCACATATTAAGATGTGGAACCAGGCCTCTCCAGCTGCTATTAGAAGCATCCAGCACACAATGTCTTACCAGGCAAGTAAAAAGAAAAATCACAGCATTCTCACACTAGCCACCACTTGATAGGATCTCTCCAAATGCATGCTGGGAACTCACACATTACTGCCTCCATCCCTGAGTTATGTGATTCAGGCCACAGGCTCTGGTTTTCATTTGGAGGAAGCAGAACAGTCTAATGTCCCCATCTCACTCCTGCCCATATGTCAGGTTTTGCTTCAGGGAAGCATTTAGAGAAATGGTGTTGGGCAAAGGGACACCGTGAAGGTGCACCCAACCTCCCAGAAGCCCGTTTCTTAGACAAAATAAACTAAGGGTGATATTGTGGAATCAAGACAGTCACCATGGAGTTTGAAACAGTAAATACCTGTTGTCCAAGGATCCTTCGGTTACTAAGATGAGGTGATCTCTCAGATCATCCCGTTGGGCAGTCATCACCTGGAGCTGAGTGGTCAGGCTCTCCACCTTCTGCTTCACCTGCCTCTTTGAGAGCCTGGTTGGAGTGGGTGGAGGCTCCTTGGAGGTCCCTGTGGGTAGATGAACACAAGTGAACTTGTACTGTGACAAGACATAGAGAATGAACAGATCACCCTGAGACCTAAGAAGGTGTTTGAGAAAGGATGTAAGCAAGCAATTCAGTGACACCCTAAAGAATTTTGCCCTGGATTGAGATGCCCCTGCCAGGGGTCTCAGGTCTCCCATCTCTCTGACAGGAGATAGGTGTCTCAGCCAGCTGATTTCCTCTGCTCTTTTAGCACATGCTTCAGGTAACTAAGGAGAGAGCTTCCTCAGGCTTATTAACAGCTCTGGACTCTGTGTTCAACTTGGATGCAGAGTTCACTAGACTTAACTTTCAAAGCCAAGATAAAATTGACACAGTCCACAAGCACTCAGGTCATTAAAGATGCATAACTATCCTGACAGGTCACTCTAGCCACATGGCAAAAATGGAGAAGCCACACAGGGGCAGAATACGGTCACCATCCTTACCAAGACTCCTCAGTGACAACGGAGGGTCCACAGAGCTGGTGGGCAGTAAATAAATGAAGCCACTGAGGATGAAGTACATTGATGACCTGCTTTTTGCTGGGCACACCACCTCCTACCCTAATACTGGCCCTTTTTGTCCCCTCTCAACCCCTGCCCTCCTGTAGGACTGAAAGCCAAGAGCTCCCAGCACAACAGCTTTGGCCTTACTTGCTCCTGACTTCTGGGACAGACAAATTGCTCTTCTGGGATCCTTGAATATCAGGAGCCATGACAAGCAGGGAAGTCCTGTTGGTTCCCAGAGACTCCTACCTCCTGTTTCCCATTACTGGAAGATTCTGCTCAAGCCCATGTCCGGCAGGAAGATCCCAATTTCCTGCCCAGAACTTACTGTACCATCTTCTGGACCATTTCTTTCTTGATCTTTTACATGGAGGCTGAAGGCCAGCTTGTGTCTGCCTCTCTCTGCTCTCTCTTCCCTCTCCTTTCTTTCGACGCAATAGACTCCTGAGTCTTCCCAACATGTTCATGGCTGAACTGTAAGGGCACTGAACCAACTGTCCAAAGGCAGTTGGTGTTGCTACAACACAGGTGACATCAGAAAATATTCTAAGGTCTCCAGGATACAATCGAATGTCTAGGCATGAGACCCCCTGATGTCATGGGGAACTGACATTGCCTCCCTGCTAATCAGATGTCTTCATAACTCACCGGAAGTCAGGTTTCCCATTCTAGGAATCTCTCCTAGGACTCAAGAGAAATCTTTCAGCACCCTTTTATTCCATAGCCAGAGATTGCTCTCTGATTGTACTTCCATGTGGGAAAGAAAGTGAGTGTTCATCTCCTACTGAAAGTATATGTCCAGAAGGTAACAGTATTATAGACAATGATGTGAGGTATGATTCTCCACAAGTACCTGCATCTCCTTATTATCAAGAAATGATAGACTTACTGATAACGGAAAGGATACTTTTTAAACAACTTCCTGGTATGGAACCTACAGAAATTACTGCCAGTAGATAATATGAAGCTTATTTGATTATTTGATTTAAATTGATGACCACTGGCAGACTGCATTATCATGTTACACAGGATCTATAGATAATCACTACCCAATACATCAACTTTTAAGAGTTTTTGAAAATACTCAATGGGTATGTCACAAAATTATATCTAAAAGTCCTGTAGAGTTTGCTCTTAGTGATTTTACAGATTGCTCTTCAAAAAAATAAGGAGTATGTATTTTATACACAAATTCCTTACACTCCTCAAAATGGATAGTACCTTCTCCTGACTGTACAGCTCAACAGTAAAACCTTACTATATTCCATCAGTTTTTATTAGACATTGCTCAGTCATAGGTTTTTTTTTTAACTCACTTCATATATGTATTTGCACATGAAGGATAGAGTTATACTAAAAATGGAGGCTGCCTTAACCTGATAGAAAAGAATTGTTACAAAAGTTTTACAAATTTTAACTTTTTTTTTAATTAATTTTTTTCGTTGGTGTTTTGCCATGAGTGTTATCTCCTGGAATGAGAGTTACAGACAGTTTTGAGCTGCCATGTGGGTGCTGGGAATTGAACCCAGGTCCTCTGGAAGAACATTCAGCGCTCTTAACCTCTGAGCTATCTCTCCAGCCCCAAGTTTTACAAATTTTAAAAAAGTGTAATGAAGAGATGAAAATCTCTAAACTCTATCTACTTTGTACTCTAACACATTTTATCTCTTAATTTCTTTGCCCCCTAATCTCAAAAAATAGTACCTTAAAACATATAATTTCTTTAACTTTGGATTTGTAAATTCCTGGGGCATGGTTAAAATTTGTAAAATGTATAACAAAATCAGCTGAAAACTTGTAACCAAAGGTTATCACTTTAAAAATTTATACATAGGCAGCATGTATAAAAGTTATTAATCCTACTGTCCCCTTTGGTTATTATTATATCTCCTTTATAGACTAGGCAATCACAGTTCCTCAAAATATTCTGGAGAAAGATGGAATTTAATATCATGAGATATCCCTAAGGAAATATAGGTCTACTCAGGATAGAAGATCCTGACTCAAAAGATGTATGTCTAGCCACTTATGTATTTGTTAACTGTTGAACACCAGGATTCTGGAGAAAAAAAAATTTTTTTTCGAGATAGGGTTTCTCTGTGTAGCTTTGTGCCTTTCCTGGGACTCACTTGGTAGTCCAGGCTGGCCTCGAACTCACAGAGATTCGCCTGGCTCTGCCTCCAGAGTTGGAAAATTTAAATAAGAAACAAATATGTGATTGATAAATTTGGTATATTTGAATAATAAGGCTCTTAAATACCTACAGTCTTTTTAGGCTAGCAAAAATTCACTTGAAGATATTATATCTAGCCTCTTGGTCTTTCCTAACTTTTTAAGCTTTAGCTCTTTACATAAACTGAATCGTACAAGAAACTGTGATATTCTATAATGGTACACCCTGAAAGAGTAAAAAATAAAGGAAAGTTCAATTCTATGAACTGTTTTTATTTAAGTTTTATATTTGAGG